AGCAGAGCTGGACAGGACCTCAGAGGGACAAGCAGTGAAGATTGATCCTGGCTTTCCAGAGGATTTTTGGATGCCCTGCCCAAGGCAAGGTAAACCCACCTTTACAAACATTAAATATTTTTTAAATTTTATATTTAAAATTAAAAATTTTATATTTAAATTAAATATTTTATAAATTTGTCCCTGTTCTGCATTGGCTGTGAGCAGGATCCATTTCTCCCAGCTCTGGATCCAGGAGATGCTGCAGGCAAATAAGGATAATCTTCCTTTGCAGAACAAGGGCAGAGTCACAGAATCATGGTTTGGGTTGGAAAGGACCTTAAAGATCATTTATTTCCAACTCCCTGCCATGGGCAGCAACACTTTCCACCCACAGTACCACTCTCCCTGGTATAAACCCCAGAGTGTTTGCAAATGTTGATCAAAATCCTTTAAGCTCTGGTGCTTGGAACCAAAAAATTGCCTTTCCTTTCTAAGATTTGGGCATAACATGTAATTACAGCGTGACAAACGCTGTTCATCAGGAGTGTGTGTGTGTTTTCATCTAGCTAAAGAGCCCTGTTCACATCACCAAATGGCACTACCTCAGTCCCAGGGTAACCTTTGCCCCAAAAAGGGTAAAAAAAAGAGGGAGGAAAGGGGTGGAAGCATTAAGAGGGAAGAGCTGTACCTCCTGACTGGCAAGATCCCAGGTGCTCACACACCTCTGCATGTGTTTACCTCCAATTCCTCCATGCAGACCTACCCCAACACTTTTATTTGGTTTAAGTGCATCAACACAAACCTGTTCCTCATTAGTTTAAATTAACCATAATGGCCCTGATTTGGAGAGAAACATGAAAAGCAGGGAGGTGACAGGATGGCAGTGAGCTCTGATGTGCTTTAGCTGAGCTGCACTGACAGCACAGGCTGTGATCTCTCCCTGCCCTGGTGGGGAGGGCAAAGGCATCAGTGCAACCTCCCGGGTTTTCTGTGTGGTTGGGGCAGATGTGGCAGCCCCCAGGCTCTTACCCCCACCAAAAATTGCCCCTTGCTCTCTCCCATCCCATCCTTGCACCCCATTCTAACCCCGCAGTCCACGCCAGCTCCAACCTCTCAGCAGCGGGGAGAAGTTGTGTTTGGAGATGTCAGGAGAAGAGGAGAGCTCACCCAGGCAGGGCAGGTGAGGATCCTTTTGCTTCTTTTTTGCCAGGGTCAGGATTAAATGTGTGAAATGGTATTTCCTGTTCAGACTCAGATGTTTGTTAGTTCTTATCTCTGTTACAGTCTCACAAACCATGAGTTCTACAGCACTTCACTCTAACAAACTAAAAATGGAGCCCCATCTCTTTCTCTACAAGTCCTTTTAAGGATAAATTGTCCAATTAAGAAATGACACCTAAATTATTTTTATTTTTAACCCAATAACCAACCACCTGCGGCTATGGCCTGCAATGTGGACTTTTTTATCCAATTACACAAAACCACCCAAACCCATGGAGAAGGAAAAGAATAAGGACCAGCCTCTGCTCTACAATCTCCATTTTGCTTTATATATATGACTATATTCTAAAAGCTTAAACTCTAAGTTTTCCACCCTGTGATATTACACACTTCTATTCAAACTCCACACCCACAGTCCCAGTTCCACCATTCAATTTTAGAAGCTTCTCCACAGCCTCAGTTCAAATGCAGTGTTCTCCTGGGGGTCAGTGCCTGGCGGCACAGAAAGCCTAAAATTCTCATTCACCAGGGTTCCAACAGGCAGGATCAGGGCAGACACAAAATCTGCACCCCAGTGAACCTCTCTTTTCTTCCTACGTGGTTAAAATCCCGCTGTACATGAGGAGCTTCAGTCAAGCCTTCACTTTGGAGTGAGGCTCATGTTTTCTTTATCTCTGGGTGTCACTGGATAGATTAGATGAGATAAATATATCTCTGCAGCAATCTGTGTTGTTGCAAAGATAGGGCTGCAAAATTCCATGGATGAGATCTTCCCATGCTGAGTTTAGCATCCCAGTAAGAAACAATCCTTCATTTTGGTGGCTGACATGTTTTCATCAAAACATAAGGAAAATTAATTTGACCTCAAGTGTTGGGTGTTTGGGGGTTTTTTGGCTTTTGTTTTTTTTTTTTAATTCACATTAAAAACTGTTAAGTGTTTGCTGGGTGGGTTATTTTGAGCAAAACCATCCTTATAAACACTTTTCTTTTGAAGTATTTTCTCCTATTTTCTTGTATTTTCAAGTTCTCTTGTTCTCAGCGGGGCCAAAAACCTAGCTCAAAGAAGTTGGGTGAAATAATAAGGAAGAAAAAAGTGCATGAAAGAAATGAGGAAAATCAAAAATGTGTCATTTCCTGCGATGATTATCAAGGGAAATAAAGGAATAAAGAATCTATAATATTTTTTTTGTCCACTCTCATACACAGTGAATTTACAGATCTCCCATGCTCTGACAGCACCAGTTAAATCATCCCACTCTCCACTTGGCCTGCCCTATAAAGCAACTATTTTTTTTAAGAAAAATAAAGTTGAAAAATCATGGATAAACACACTCCAAGGAAATATTTCCTGTGTACAGTAGCAAGAAGCTGAGGGAGAGCCCCTGTTCACCAGCAGGGTCAGTCCCCATCACAATGTATGGAGGCAGGTCACCGGGAGGAAACCAGTGTAAACAGGATCTGCTTTTATCAGTGGGAAAAAAAAAACCTCAGCCCTGTTTAAATTAGCCAGAAACATGTTCCTATATACTATACTTCTATGTTATAGTCACAAGCTGCTGCGTCCAAGCTTTGCTGCAGGGTTCAGTCATGGTAGGGAGCTGTCCCCAAATGCAAGACCATGACTGTCCCTTCTGCTTTGGGAAGGAGCTCAGGATGGGATGCTTGCACCCCGAGGAGGATGCCTGGGCTGAGGGGTCAGGGTTGGTTTGTCATGGGAGGGATGCTGGATGCAGGACCACAAAGAAAACCTGGCAAGGCATCCTTCTGCTGGGATGCTGGGGATGAACTGTCAGACTGGCAGGGCATCCTCCTGGTGAGATGTTGGGGCTGAGGGAAGACAGGATTGCTGTTCACAGCATCCTCCTGGTGGGGTGTTGGGGCTGGCAGGGACATGCCAGCCATATGGGACATCCTTGTGGTGAGGTGCTGGGAGAGGGGCACTTCAGACTGGCAGGGCATCCTTCTGCTGGGATGCTGGGGGTGAACTGTCAGACTGGCAGGGCATCCTCCTGGTGGGGTGCTGGGGCTGAGGGAAGACAGGATTGCTGTTCACAGCATCCTCCTGGTGGAATGTTGGGGCTGAGGGAAGACAGGATAGCTGTTCACAGCATCCTCCTGGTGGAATGTTGGGGCTGAGGGAAGACAGGATAGCTGTTCAAAGCATCCTCTTGGTGGGATGTTGGGGTTGAGGGAAGACAGGATAGCTGTTCACAGCATCCTCCTGGTGGGATGTTGGGGCTGGCAGGGACATGCCAGCCATATGGGACATCCTTGTGGTGAGGTGCTGGGAGAAGGGCACTTCAGACTGGCAGAGCATCCTCCTGCTGGGATGCTGGGGGTGAACTGTCAGACTGGCAGGGCATCCTCCTGCTGGGATGCTGGGGGTGAACTGCCAGACTGGCAGGGCATCCTCTTGGTGGGGTGTTGGGACTAAGGGAGGGCATGGCAGCCTGGCAGGGCATCCTCCTGCTGGGATGCTGGGACTAAGGGAGGGCATGGCAGCCTGGCAGGGCATCCTCCTGCTGGGATGCAGTGCCGGGGGTGCCGGCACGGGTGTTTTCCAGCAGGATGCTGTTCCCGGCTGGCGCCTCCCGCGCTGTCCCCGCAGCTCCGGGACCCGCGGGCGGGACGGGCCCGGCCCCGCCGGGCAAACCCTGCGCTCTGCTGCCCCCCGGCGGGCACGGGCGGGAGCGCCGCGCCCCGCTGCTGAGTGATGCTCCCGGGGCTGCACCCCAGTTCTGAGTGATGCTCCTGGGGCTGCACCCCAGTTCTGAGTGATGCTCCTGGGGCTGCACCCCAGTTCTGAGTGATGCTCCTGGGGCTGCACCCCGGTACTGAGTGATCCTCCGGGGGGCTAAACCTCAGTTCTGAGTGATGCTCCTGGGGGCTGCACCCCAGTTCTGAGTGATCCTCTTGGGGCTGCACCCCAGTTCTGAGTGATCCTCCTGGGGGCTGCACCCCAGTTCTGAGTGATCCTCCCGGGACTGCACCCCAGTTCTGAGTGATCCTCCTGGGGCTGCACCCCAGTTCTGAATACTCCTCCTGGGACTGTACCCCACTGCTGAGTGATCCCTCCCGGGGCTGCACCCCAATTCTGAGTGCTCTTCCTGGGGCTAAACTCCAGTTCTGAGTGATCCTTCTGGGGGATAAACCCCAGTTCTGAGTGATCCTTCTGGGGGCTAAACCACAGTTCTGAGTGATCCTTCTGGGGAATAAACCCCACTTCTGAGTGATCCTCCTGGTGGCTAAACCCCAGTGCTGAGTGCTACTCCTGGGACTGCACCCCAGTTCTTAGTGCTCCTTCTGGGACTGCACCCGGTACTGAATGATCCTCCTGGTGGCTGCACCCCACTGCTGAGTGATCCCTCCCGGGGCTGCACCCCAGTTCTGAGTGATCCTCTCGGAGGGCTAAACGCCAGTGCTGAGTGACCACTCCTGGGGGCTGCACCCCAGTGCTGCGAGACACTTTCTGGGGCTGCACCCTACTGCTGATTGATCCTCCTGAGGATGCACCCCAGTGCTGCGAGACTCTCCGGGGGACTGCCTCCTCCCAGAGCGTGCCGGAACCCTCTCCATCATCATCTGGCTTGACCCCCTCCATCATCAACTCGCCCGGACCCCCTCCATCATCTCCCCTGGACCCCCTCCATCATCTCTGCTGCCGGTTTCACTCTGCCCCGGGCTCGCCTCGTCCTGCACAGCAGCGCTGCCTCCTCCTCCTCCTCCTCCTCCTCCTCCTCCTCCTCCTCCCCGGCGGCACCTGACGCGCGGGGCTCCCGCCCGCCCCCGGCCCGTCCGGCCCCTCCCGCCGCTCCCGGTCGGAGCGCGGAGCCGCGGAGCCGCCGGGCGCTGCCGGCCGTGCCCAGCGCTGCCCCCGGGGCATGCCAGGGCGGCCGGGGGGCTCTGACCGCCCAGCTGCCCCCCCGGGGCTGAGCGCCGGGGACAGCGGGCACGGGGGGCAGCGCGTTCTGCCCTCCCTCGCTCCGTCTCCATCCCTCCATCCCTCCATCCCGGCCGGGGGAGCGAGGTGCGGAGCGCGTCTTGGCGGGGGCTGCCGGCCGGGGATGATGCTGGGGGAGCTGCGCCTCGGCACCGCTTTCTCCTCGCCCTCAATGGAGCCCGCACTTTTTCTACAATGACTTTCCCCGAGCTGAGCAATGGCAGCTTGAGTGGGAACCGGACGGGACAAGGCAGCCAGAGCGCTGCCAACCGCTCCTGGGGGCTGCAAGGGGAGGAGACCCCCGAGGGCAACGGCACCACGCTGACTTTCGCCTTGGATGTGCAGGCGGTGGGCGTGGGGGTCTTTCTGGCCGTCTTCATCCTCTCGGCCATCGTGGGGAACATCCTGGTCATCCTCTCGGTGGCTTGCAACCGGCACCTGCAGACGGTCACCAACTACTTCATCGTCAACCTGGCCATCGCCGACCTGCTGCTCAGCACCACCGTGCTGCCCTTCTCGGCCACCCTGGAGGTGTTGGGCTTCTGGGTGTTCGGGCGCATCTTCTGCAACATCTGGGCAGCGGTGGACGTGTTGTGCTGCTCTGCCTCCATCATGAGCCTGTGCATCATCTCCGTGGACAGGTACATCGGCGTCAAGTACTCCCTCAAGTACCCCACCATCATGACCGAGAGGAAGGCGGGGGTCATCCTCGTGGTGGTGTGGCTCTCCTCCATGGTCATCTCCATCGGGCCGCTGCTGGGCTGGAAGGAGCCGCCGCCGCCGGACGAGAGCATCTGCAGCATCACGGAGGAGCCGGGCTATGCCCTGTTCTCCTCCCTCTTCTCCTTCTACCTGCCCCTCATGGTCATCCTGGTGATGTACTTCAGGATTTACGTGGTGGCCAGGCGGACCACCCGGAGCCTGGAGGCAGGGGTCAAGAAGGAGAGGAACAAGTCCATGGAGGTGGTGCTGCGCATCCACTGCCGCAGCGTGCTGGAGGAGCCTCTCTCCAGCACCCGGAGCAAGGGGCACAACTTCAGGAGTTCCCTCTCCGTGCGGCTCCTCAAGTTCTCCCGGGAGAAAAAAGCGGCCAAGACTCTCGCCATCGTCGTGGGTGTTTTCATCCTCTGCTGGTTCCCCTTCTTCTTCATCCTGCCTTTTGGTAAGTGACCCCATCCCAGCTCTGCTGAACCTCTGGGGACCTGCTCCTTGGGACAAACTTTTCAGGACACGGCTCATGCATAGAAATGATGGATAGGTGATTGATAGGTGAATAAACCAACGATGAATTAATTCAATTAATTAACACTTATTCAATATTTATTAAGCAAAGCCATATAATCAATCAAAGTAGATAGCAAGTGAATAAAAAAGCAGCATAATAATTGCTTTAATTAATTCATTCTGCATTCAGCATTTTAACTAATGAAGTTTAGGCTAAGGAGGAAGCAGCTCTGTTCCAAACAGGCTGTTTCTTTGACACAGGGGTTTCCAACAACAGTTTTGTTATCTTCTCATTCTCCCAGTTTGGGAGCTGCACCTGGGTATGCCCCTGTGGGTCCAGGGCTCCCACCTCGGCTGGAGATGAGTGAGATTTTATCCCTTCAAGGAGTGCATCAGAGCCTGAAGCACAAATATTTACTTCCCACTTGCTGTTGTTGTGCAGGGACCTGGGGCAGGACCGGGTGTTATCCATAAGGGTGATGGGTGAAGACCCCTTGTGGTTTTCCTGGACTGATCCACCACCCCCAGGAGCTGTGGCCCCGCTATGGTGCCCGTGTGCTCATTTAGGGCTGTCTCTCATGTTGTGTTCTAAAGTTTTGGCAAGTTGGTTGTGAAAAGGATGCTCCCCTCTGCGTGCAGGGGAGGCTGAGCAGGCACAGAGCCCACCAGGGACCTGTGATGACCAAAGCAATGTCCCCTTCCAGCACCAGGGACCCAGGACGTGCAAGGGAAACCAGTGCTCCTCATCCTGACAGCAGGCACCCAGCTCAGGGGACCTGATTAACCCTCTGGAATGCTGTAGCTAAGCCTGGAGCTGGGAAGAGAGAGATTAAAATAATTCCTGAGTGTCAGCAGCAGCCTTTGCACAGAGCTCAGCACAGCAGAGAGGTCTGTCATTCCATCTGCCAGCTGGGACCCACGTGTCCCACAGCCCACGGAGGACTTGTGTCCCACCAACCCTGCAGCCACAGGAGCACTCATCACAGCTGGGGCTGCGCTTTTTCTCAGGGTTTTGCAAATCCTCTTGCTCGGGGCTGCCTCTCAAGTCAGTGGGAGCAGCATCTGTGACTGCAGGACAGATTTGGACCTGCTGAGGTTCTGAGCTCCCTCCAGCACTGGGGCTGTTTCCCTGGGCTGTGTCCCCAGGCACTGCTGGAGCCCAGGGCTGTGGGATCCCTCCAGTGGGATAATCCCCTGGTGCCTGGAGAGCTGAGGTGTCCCTGGAGTGGTGAATCAGGGCTGTGCATGTCTGCTCTCACTGTGCTGCTGTCTGGTGCCTCTTTGCTCCAGGGTCTCCTGTGGGTGTGGGTGGTGTTAGGGGGGGTTTGGCTCAGCTCTCCATGGGGGTGAAATCATTGCTGTGAGGAATTTTCACCCCGTGGGAGCATTGCAGTTGATGGTATAACTCAGGCAGAGAGCAGTAAAACTGCACTGAACTCCTCTCCCTGCAAGACCAAGGATGAATTTTCCCATTTGACTGTGCCTCAGTTTCCCTTTCAGTGATCAGGTGTATTGGGGGGAATGGAGGGGAGGTGGTGTAACCTGTAAATAAACATTTTGGGATTCGTGGGGCTCAGGGAAATGCCAATCCTTTAAGACTGAGCTCCCTGAGCAGCCCCATTCTGATATTCCCTTTCTTGGCCAACCAGGGCAGGAACCAGCTCCAAACCTCATTTGCACCTTTACACCTTAAAATCATAAAATCAGGGAATTATTTGGGATGGAAGGGACTTTAAAGATTGTCTAGATCCAACCACCTGACAACCTTCCAGCTAATGAAGCTGGAAATCAGGATCCTGTTCCTCTGAGTTACTCCCGGTACTTTGAAATAGAGAAGGAACCCCAGGCAAATACTTTTCAGTAGAAAAAATTAATTTGATTTTGTTTTACCATATCTGTTCTGCCATGAGACCCTTGTACTAGTGTACTAGCTTCTCTGCTGATGTAAATCAGACAAGTCAAAGGAGGAACACTGATTTCCACAGCTAAAAATCCAAACTTCATTCTTTGGGTGCCTCCCACAAACCCATTCGCTTCCTCCGAGCACACAACTGGCCAAGTCCTTTATAAACATGGCTTTGATCTTTACTTCCTGCCATATTATATGTATAATATAAACACTGCAAAAGTTAATTTATTTTATGACTACAAAATATGCTGCCTCTGATTTCCACTCCCTCCCCTTTATTAATGGCAATTTCCTATTCAAATCTGAGAATCGTTCAGTGCTGTCAAGAAGGGAACAGCAACTTCTAATCTTGGATTTTACAGCTCAGGAGACAGGTCTGAAACTTGCAGAAATCAGTAAACTTTACAGTGAATCCACAAGCTGAAACATGCTGGGACCAACTCTGCTAAAAAAGAAAGTTGTAAGTGGTAAAGTAGAATGGATTTTATTTATTTCATAAGACAAAATTAGTTGTAATAACTCAGGACCAACTGAAAATGATATTGATACACACTTTAAATGAAAGTGAAACTCCCCTGAAAAACAAAATAACTTTCAATTGAAGAGCAATGTATTGTTTCAACTTCAGAGTAAATTGGAAATTATTAAAATTCAAAGACATTTAAAATTGTGCCTTCAAATTGCATCAAAGTGAAATGAATAAGTGATCTATTTTCTTCTGAAAATATCCAAATGTTTTGACTTATTTTTTTCTCTCTTTGACATGAATTTGCAGGAAGTCATCGTTGAGTCACACTGTTCACTGAGGTCTGATTATAATTTCTAGTAAAATTAAATTTTCCAAGTGACAAAAGACTCTCAACTCCACTTTAAAATCCTTCAGCATCCGGAAACTTCCACACTCGCGCCGTCCTCGGTGTCTCTGAGTCTGCACACATCCTTGCCACTCTGCAGAGTAGCTCCCACATTTGTTACACAGGAGCAATATTCACCACATTGGTGCCAAAAAGCTGAAATAACCCCAAATTTCAAACAGCAAGAGCCATGTGTGTGCCAAATGCTGTCAGCCATTTCTCCATGCTCAAACAATCTACAATGATTTTTCTTTAAATCAGCTCAAACTCCCCGATACTGCCACGGTCTATTTATCAGCTGAGTAATTTAACTCCCTCTTGGATGTGTGAGCACAATCCCTGAGCACGGGATGTTATCACCAGGAGTTTAAATACAATTAACAGCTTCTGTGGCTAATGAGGTTCTCTAGCAGCCGAGTTGTTCAACCCAAGATGAACTCCTGGTTTGTGGTTTGTGTTTGGGTCCTGTCTTTGCTGAGCGTGGAGAGCAGTGGAGCTCTCCTGGGCTGCTGCCTGGGTTTGCTGGGAGGTGGTTCTGGGGTTTGTGGCAAGGTTCCTGTTCTCTCACCTGCAGAGAGAATTTACCTGGAGACTTTTCAGAGGTGTAGGGCCAGGAGTTTAAGGCTGGTTTGTAGCACAGAGTTCATCTCCCTTTGGTTGTCTCAGGCCATGGAGATGCTCCAAGGGCTGGGGCTCTGCTCTGCAGCCAGGCTGGGAGAGCTGGGGGTGCTCACTGGGGGAGGAGAAGTCTCCAGGGAGAGCTCAGTGCCTAAAGGAGGCTGATAAAGGGAGGCAGAACAACTTCTTATATGGGCAGAAAGTAATAGGACAAGGGGCAGTGGTTTTAAACTGACAGAGGGCAGGGTTAGATGGGGTATGGGGAAGAAATTCCTCCCTGTGAGGGTGGGCAGGCCATGGCACACGGTGCCCAGAGAAGCTGTGGCTGCCCCTGCATTTCTGGAAGTGTCCAAGGCCAGGATGGAGCAACCTGGGATAGTGGGATTTGTCCCTGCCCATGGCAGGGGTGGTGTTGCTGGTCCCTTCCAACCCAAACCATTCTGTGACTACAAAAACATGCAGGCACAGCTAATGAGCTGATGGTGTCTGCACTGCAGGTATTTGCAGAAAAAGTGGGATATAGCCTAGTCTGGATTTTTTACTCGATGATCTCTGAGGGCTTTTTCAACTTGAACAATTACGTGGCTCTATAGAAGTTTCACTGGCTCTTCTGCTAATGGAAAACCCTGTTAAAAGTTAGGTTCTGGATTTGTTCTTGCAGTAGGACACCTGTGCCAGGTGATCAGGGAACCAGAACCCCCTATAGGTAGATAGTACCCTGCTTTCTCAAACCTGCTCCAGGAGGACATCAGTAAGAGTGGGAGGAGGGATGGAGACCTGATTCCCACCACTCTTCAGCTGGGGAGCACCTGAAGCTCAATGTGAGTTCCCAGACAGGACCATACCAGGAGTGGAGGTCAAGACCTTCTCCATCAGCACCTCAGAAGGATCTAGGAGGAACCAGCCATCCCCTGGGGTCAAGGATGGACTAGCTGGTACCCAGGATGGTGATTTATGTACCTCACTGCCTCTGTTTTTAAGCATGGTCTCGTCTGGACTCCCATAGTGGGCTCCCATGTTTGTTGTCCTTTAGATTTGGTCAGAAATCAAGACTGGTGTGAGAAAGAAAGACACGTAGTGAGAAATGAGGAAACACCATAGTTAGTGCCACACAAGGGTGAAGGCCACAACCCGAGGCTCCCTTCACCCTGTCCATCCACAAGCAGCAGGTTACCCAGACCAGGAATGCCTGAAGCGACCCCTGAGAATGGATAAAACCCTCCAGACTGGCACTCTAATCTTTCCCTTGGGTTGGTGACCCGCTGTGTTTGCAGTGGAAGCTGCTGCTCATTTCCAGGTACGTTTCAGAAGAACAGTGAACTGGCTTTTCCACCTGCACCCTGAAGGAAAGGCAGCTGCTACACCAGCCAGGCTCTGAAAGGTCTCCTTCAAGTCAAAATATAAACATATTTTTAGTTGCTGTTTGACATAGAGCAGGAGACCTTTCACAAAGCATTTTGCAGAGCTACTTGTAAAATAAATGATGGGGAAAACACTGTGAAAGCACGTTTCATGTGATGTGAGACCATGTTCTGGTAGAAATTGAGAATCTAATTC